ATCCCGGATCTTGATACTTCAAACGATTTGCCTCCGCTCTGCTGCTATGCCAGCGGGCCCATGCATGGCTTCTTTTTGTAGTCTCATTTTTGCTCCTTCGCAAGATCTTGCCCAATCCAGTCAACATGCGGAGAGGGGTCGCTCCGAGTATTCACCACCAGAAAAACCGCCCGCATTCATCGATCTTGGGAGCTCGACGACTGGCCCAGAGATCTTGGTAGTGTATGTGGAGTACCTAAACTTCATCGACAGCCTGTCCTTGGTTTTCTGCGACTGGAGAGCAAGGATGGGGCAGCAGTGCCTGAATCGTAAGTGGCTTGGCGCTTGAGCGACGAGCTTTTTTACCTCCTGCTCCATCCCACTTCAAACCTCTACACGTTCTGGGAACGGTAATAGCTCAGAGTTTACTCGAATTCCCAACAGGTTTTGTGTGCATGTTTCATCTCTGAGAAACCGCCAAATGATTTGATGATGATGATGTTGCTGGCTGAGCATTTAATTGTGTCATGTGTTCAACCCTTTTTGTGGTGACGTTGTTTTGATGTTTTGGTGGAAAAGCTCTTCAAAGCACGAATTCAGATGAATTCGGCCCCACATCCACAACTTCCTGGTATCCGCACTGAAAACAACGCCCACATCACTTATCTATTATCCCCCAATTAGTAGAAATTAGAGTAAGCCTCTCCTCAAGAAAACAACTCCCTCATTGCTCGGCTGTACTCGAATCGAGAGGACCCAGCTAGCGTTGCTCTGCCCCTTCTGCCTAAGAGGAGACGACCCCGTCAACTTGCAATGATGCAAGCATTCCAACCAGTAGCGTTGCGCCCTTCTGAGCATTAACACACATTGGGAACGTTTCCGGAAGCATCAGCCACGCATCCTAGATGGAGTCGCATGTTGCGCTCGGCAAATTCATCGCGATGCCTGTGATCTTCAATACCCGCGCACCAACGGGATAACAGTATTACTTCTCACCCGCATCGAGTAGAGAGTGTAATTTAGAGTACCTACTGACTTTAAGTATTCGTGTATGCAGCCAGGCTCCGTACAGGTCAAAGTTGTATGGAAAATACAATCCACACACAACCGCTCATTCCGATATGCATATGGATTGTAATCAAACGCATAATGTTGGAATAAGGCGTTGGGAACCGATCATTCTTTGAAAGCAATATCATAAGTATCTAACATTAGCACACCTACTTGAAATAAATGCACTGTCACAGTTTGGCTTACCTATCATAAAACGACAGTTTGACTTTTCCAACTGTAAGAACACCGCCAACTCAAAATAACACCTCGCATCAAAAATCTGAAGCTACCACAAGTTATCCTTGTCGTGCTATTCTTGAGCTTTCCTCTTTTAAGACAATGAACCCTTTGTTGTCCATGTTTGCCGGATCTGCAGAAGCCTTCTGTATCCACATACATTGTACCACAATCCCACGGGCCGAGATAATAAACACTGCTGAAGCGAGTTTATATATAGCCCGAAATTCCACACGGCATTCGTATGAAATGCGGCAGAATGAAGGCAGCTGCAACCACAGGCCATGCCAATTGTGTTGACAATCCCATGCTCTGTGCAACCTTTAAGAAATTTTCAGCCCTTCAGTATGTTTCTTTTTCCCTTGTGTGACAATCAGTGACAAAAGACGTGTGGAATGTGGTCTGCATCACGTTTTTCTTGGCGATATATCGAAATTTGAGTGTGTGCTCGTTGGAATACCGATGAACAAGTAGATGATAAGTACAGGCCTGTACTTTCCCATGAATTGATTGTAGTAGTCCTGGTATTTACGTTAGTCGATTCTACCCACTAGGCTATGATAGGATAATGTCTCAATTCCTTACCTGCCAAAGATAATCTACATCATTTTGCAAGCTTGTTTCGTAAGTTGGCTTTCTGTAAAATATGCATTCGGCTGGGGGTGGGTTGCCTCCTTTTCAGATCTGCCTGGTTTCGAAATTTTCCCCGAATTGGGCATTCTTTATCAGCTCTACACGAGTAGAAGAGCGAGATATAATCAGGGGAAATATTTTTGGCCTTCTAAATGGGAGAGCCAGGCCTGAGGAGATTGTCCTGAGCCGAGATATACTCTAGAGGACCACCCGGTATCGCTGTGGCTTCTGATATAGGGCCGTACTCCCAGCCGGTACTCGAGTACACCGACTGAGATGATATGGTAGATATTACCTTAATTAGTAGTTAGTGCCTACCTATATAGGTAAATGATCCCAACTTAAAAATAAGTATATCCTTGGAGTATACGTGTTCTCGTGCCAAGACTGAATAAGAGTATACGTAGTTGTAAGAAATTTTTCTCTTCTTTCAGAATATCCTTTCACCGAGCGAGAACATTATCCCCAGGAGAAGCCAGAAGTTATGAAACAAGGTAGTCTGATAATTGAGCTGTGAAGGAGTCCATTTTCGTCAAGGGGCCACAAATCAATTCTAATTTCTCCAATGTCGTGCCGAAACCGAGAGCTAAATTTGAGTATAATTAGGTTGCCTAGCGTTTCTCGTGCCGAGTCTTCCTTCCCGCAAAAGCCATTTCAACTGTATACATTAGCACAGAACAAATGTCATAACCAGAACAATTTACTTCTGTCGCTTTCGAGTAATTGCAGTGTGCAGAAAATGGAGGCTCTAGTTGTATTCGGGTTTAGGTTGCGCAGTATCCGTAGTGGTGCAGTGAAAGGCTTGATGAGGGGTGTTTTGGCAAAGCTCCCAAGGAAATCCGACGATGCTTGGCACAGCCTTCCAAATCGAGATAGCTGAAGCATGACTGCCTGATTTGGACACTTTGTACCAGGCTAACATCCCGAATACTCAAATAATTCAAACACAGCTGAGATCGTGAGCACCGTAATCCATATGTATGTAATTCATATGCATGTAAAAATGCATTGGCAGATGCTGGAATGATATTCGTCTTTTTGATAGATATATAGCAGATGGGACGTCCGAATCAGAGGTTGTAAGGTAGCGCTCGAGTGTGGTTTCTGCATGCTACCTCGGTATCGACCGCGGTATCGCCGCGGCCTATCGATAGTGAAAAGGGTCGAATAGTGCCGTGGTGCCGCCCAATTTGCGTACGTATATCCATACTCTCTTCTAGTCCAATCAATTCAATATAAGACCTACCACCCATTAGTCAATATGTGGCTTGCGTGTACCCCTCCCTTAATGCATCCAGAAAGACCTCCTCCCGTAAACTCCATTTCTGTTTCAGCTCAGAATAGATATAATTTTGTAGTTGGTGCAGTTCATCAATTGAACATTGGACAATTAGCGGTAACAATCGTAAATGCTGACTGTGATGGAATCTCCAGATAACTACCAAGATCTTGTCAGTCCTCAATCCCAAGATCTGCCTATGTACTGCTCAGCCACTTCAACAGGATTCCCGTTCGTTGAGGGAAGCATCCAGCCCTATCACCGTATGCTTGTCTATCATCCACCATTTTCTCATCATTTATGCCCTCGATACTCTTCGATCTCATACATGTACACGAGTACTCTCGATGAGCCCAGCCCACCTCTCCAGCACAATTCTCTCTTTTTCTTTTTCTCCACCGTCGATTCAGGGAAGAGACTTTCTGCACAATCAGAGCGGCCACGACACTCCTTGGCTTTTGAGAGGGGGGCAAGCTCCAAGGGCCAAGGAATCTCAAGCACTTCAAATGCATCCAGTCAATGCCTTCCATTCGATGCGATTTTACAGCTGACACAGTATCTTATCTACCCCTTCCCCTTCCCCTCACACATGTACTCGAGTATTCGGCTAGATAGCCAGTAGCATCAAAGTCCCAGGTCCCACAAAAAAAGCCCCTTGTGCCCAAGAAAGATAGAACTTGCAGTTCAATTGGCTATAGGACTTTCAAACTAGTGGAGTGGTCCATTGGGTAGTCTCGTTCCAGTGGCCCAGAGAAAGCTTGGGTAGTTTTGATGGCTGTATGTACTCTGTATGTACAATGTGTTGTCTCAATTCGAGGTAATTGGCGGTGGGTAGTATACTCGAGCGAGGATGTCTCGGTATCGATGTACTCCAGCTTGAAGCTGGGTTTTTCTTTGCTTCCAATGGTTGGTTGACCTTGCTTTTTGAAGTAGAATTCTAGCATCCACTGAGCCAGTGTTTGAGATTGGCCGGCCTCCTTCGTCATTCCTTCTTGCGTGAAGTGAGTGGAGTGAGGCAGCATAGAATCTTGGTAAACCTAGCTAAATCTGGCCAAACGGAATCCAATTGGAGCATTCTTCTTGAAGCTTAAGGGAAAGAATGAAATGAGTGGGTCTTGAGCTCTTGGGGTACTTAAGACTGTGAGGAAAACCGTTTCTGGAAAGGGAAGCTGCATCAGGAGGGCTACTCAAGAAGTAGTTCTCGTTCCCATACCCTCTTCGAGGCAGAAAGGAAAGATGTGGCAGCCACCGACTCTGGATCCAGTCCATGGAGATAGGCAATCCTCCGAGGCCTTGAGTGTCTTGACCAGTGAAAAATCTGGTATCTTGGAAGAATTGGCTGAGAACTATGAGAACGTTAGTACTTGTTGGAGATCCAGGTTATGCAACCTAGATCACCAGTAAGCACACTTTTGACGAGTGGTCAGCACTTTGTTGTTCTACACTTCTTTGTAGCAGGATCTTATCGAGACGTCGTGTGGACAATGGTCATGAGCGCTATAACGTGGGATATAGTAAAGTATCATCTGTGGAGTAGCCAGGCCTCACATAGGGGGAAGGGGGGCACGAGACTAAGTGAACAGCATCTTGGGGTGGGAGTGATAGAGGGAGAGGAACGACAGTCTCGAGGAATGAGGCCACAGTGACGAGAAGGAGGCGAGGACACGAATAGACGAGGACGAGAGGGCCAAGGCCACTCACTGCCCAGATGCACGTGAGTCCCAACCATAATTGCCCGCTCCCTTTTGAGATAATATGAGCACTATTCCACCACACATCTATGGTCCATTATGAGCATGAACCGACAACAGTCCGAACAGGGGTCGTGGCCTAATGGTAAGGCGTTGGTTTTCGGCACCAAAAATTGCAGGTTCGAGTCCTGCCGGTCTCGGATGGGTTGTATTTTTGCCATTATTTTGTCCTTTTTTTTTCTCCAGCGTTTCCCATTATTCACGTTATACTCACGAGGCTAGTTACACTCCAGGCTACGTTATACTTTGTAGAGTAAGTTTAGTCTCGTGCCTGTTCTCGTGCAGTAAGTAGACGCCCATATGCATCGGTCAAGTTGAACTCTCTCGAGCTCTAAGTTTAAGCACCTAAGTATTTTAAGCTTGATGGCAAATATAAGGTACTGATATATACTATGGGAGAAGAAACTAAAAATAAGCTTCACCATAGAATGTCGACGTCGGCATACCCACTTCTTAACTATATATGGAAATTGAATATCAGATTTGGATGCCCTGACCTCGCAAGTTGTATTTAATTCCCATGGCCCTCCTCCCTACATAGAAACGAACATATATGCAATTGCAACCTCAGATGCCTTCCGAATGTACAGCCAGCCAGCCAGCCAGCCAGCAAAGCCCTAAGAAAAAGTCACTCACTTGCGAATTCTAATATATAGGTGGGTAGAACATGGCCAGCATTACATCAGAAGAGAACGGCATTGTTAACCACATCCTTTATGTAGGTGCTTCTCAAGGATGCCTAAGTGCCAGCTAGCTATAGCTATATTTTACTTTTCCCACAGGGGCGTCAGTCTTCCAGGAATTCCAAATCGGATTCGAATTCTATCCAACATTGTAAGTAAAGAGGTACCACCCGTGGCAGCACCAAAACCTTGGGCCCCAGAATTTTGAAGATCGATGATCGATCATGTCCCTCTTTCTCCGTGTACATAGCTATCTCTCTCCAGCATGAGGCCAAAAAAGACGATCCATCACTATATCCAAGATAAATTGTTAAATGGTTACCTAGGTAGGTATATATATCGCTCTTCAATAACTACAATTCAAAAACGACGCATGCTGCAAAAGGAAATTTATATTTTTAACAACTAGGTACCTTGCAGGAAACAAGCTGTGGCAGGTATATATAAAATGCAAAAAACAGACAGAGAAATTCAAATGACCATATTATATGGCATGCGTCAACACGAAAATTCCAAAACAGAGGTTATTGAACATATGTTTTTACCCTCCATCCCTACCGCTCACAGAGGGTGTGGGGATGAGAGAGAGGACCACCCCCCGGCCTCTCCATGGATTCATCCAGCTGGCCAGATCCACGGAGGCAACAAAACGCCAAACACGACTATAGCAGCCAGAGCCAGAGCTAAAGAAATAAAACCAAGACCAAACTCCAGAAGGATGCATTAATATATGGTGGTGATTCTTTTTGAAACCAGCGAGTCTTCAGAATATGATAGATTAGCTGGATGTTCTCAAATTTAACGGCGATTCTGCTGACGGTCGTAAGTTCTTCTTTCAGCGTCGCCACTCTTGTTCAGTACCCTTCAAAAACAACATCGAACATGTTAGAAGATACTCCAAACGTCTTAAACTTTGGTTCGAGCCATAATTGGTACCGGTACTTACCATTCCTCAGTAGATCTGAAAGCTCTCTCCTCTGGACTAACATGTTGTCTATGACTATGGCTTTCGCTACGGCTATGGCCATGGCGGGTGCCAGAAGAATGGGCATTATGCGAGTGATAATAACCCTCCTCGTCATCTGCCTGTTGATGCTGATATCTATACGCAGGATGATCATTTAAGTTAGGTGGAGGCGGAGGGTAGTGTCCTGGGTATAATGGATACGCTTGTCCATGGGCCTGTTGGGAGCCGTGGCTTGCCGAATAATGGCCCTCATGAGCGCGGGAAGCAACTAACTGTGACCCTGAATCTCTCGCGGTGTACTGGAATCCCTCTCGGTCGTGGGCATGCCATTGAGGAGGTTGCTGGGGTTTGGTGCTGTAATTACGCTTTTCAGAGGCAAGTAGGTCGTCATCGCCTTTGTACCTTGCGTCGGCAGCGCCTGCTCCAATACCGCCGAATTCTCTGTATTCAGTTGGAGTTGGTTTTGTATAATACTCTTCGTAACTAACAATCTATGAGTCGAAGTAATTTGGTTAATGTATTTTCTAAGGGGGTGTAATAAAAAAGCTTGGAGTTATACCCTCGAATCGTTTGGTATTAGACCACTCATTGTTTCCGAGCTGTAGGATTTATTTGAGCTTTGCGAGGTGTTTAAAGTTGAAATATTAGAGCCTAAGAGTTATTTGATCGCTTCTTGTTGAGTTATGCTAAATCACCTGTTAGTAGGAATTGAAAGAGAAAAGCCTTGGAGTGAGGTGTATTTAAGGTATAGTCGTAAATTTGAACCATGGACAGACGGGCGGCGGACGCCTTCAAATATATAAGTATTGACAAAGCTCGGTATCGCCTGTATTACCCTCCATTCCAAAGTCTTGTTCGCCAGCGATGTTTTTTTTCGCAATTACTATCAATGGGCGTGGACCCCTTCCAAGGGAATTAGGGTTTTGGTACCATGTGCGCCCTTGACGTTAATTTCGTGTTATTTGACCAATTTATTGCGAATTTTATTAAATTTTTCCGGTACTGTAGCACTGGGCCATGATTCTGACTTCAGCGCCTTGTTTCTCATTACCTTAGGATGCTATGTATCTCTCAAGAATATCGAGGCTGTTGTGGCAGTTGCTCATCAGCCGGTGTTTGTTTCTGATCATAAGGCTGATCATAAGGCTGATGTAGATCACCTCGAATAAACCACGTGAATACCAAAGATCTCGGAATCCAGCTATTCTTTGATGGATTATATTGTTTGATGTTGTTTGAGATGTTTCCAAGGTACCGTAGAAATTGGCATACAAGCACATATGGCGTATGAGCACATATTCCCGCACAAGCACAAATTTTGGGCCTTTTTTTGGTGTGAAAAGTGTTTAATCGTTGGATCTTCTAAGCAGAAAAAGGTGTAAGCACATGTGCTTGTATGCCGACTTTTACGGTATATCACAATTGCAGTTTGATGAATTGGCAACTTGTTGGGTGGGTTTGAAACATGATATTGAGAACATGCTTTAGGGCTCGCTCAAATCTGTCTAAAATGACCCCAATATTAGTGCTTGGGAATAATGGAGAAAGGACCCGAAGATCTAAACATATACCAAACGAAGTATGGTATAGGTAATTGGGAGATACTCACCGTGGAACCAATCTCTGCCTCCGAGGGCCCGAATACAGCAATTTATGCTATTAAAATTACGCCTTGTGCTCAATGAAACTGGCCCGAGACAGGGGACTCGCTGGCTTGATGTACAACCTGTAGAAAGGTGATGCAGCCACGAGGACTGGGTGGCAAGAAGGCTTTCCTTGAATTGATTCCGAAATCATTGCAATCCTATCGATTTCGGGATTGTGTGCGATGGAGGCTCTGGTGCTGGGCGCACAGGGAAGAAAGTGTTCTCGTGCAAGGAAGAGTGGAAGGTGAGGCCGAGGCCGAAGATGAGCATCGGGGGCGAAGTCGAAAAGGCGTAGACTCGCAGGTAGACTCGTACCCAAAAGGCGATGAAATCACTGCAAGGCTGTGGCCTTGGCGCTGGAATCTCACCAATGTGGTGTGTACTTCCGCTTTTGGAACAACCATGGTGCCAAGACCGACCTTCCATAACAAGATAGAGTACAGAGAAGCAATCAGAATAATCAGGGCACGTGAACTGCACGAAATCTCCCACAAGTCACAAGTCTGTTCTCGTGGACACAACCTAGCCTCGTGCCCAGGCGTTATCCACACAAACAGGCTTCGACCTTCTTACAACTGTCCTCGTGCCCAGACTCCACAGCCATTTATCGATGCTGTCGACTAACCATAATACCAATGAAGCAACCACATCAATGCATCGATCACTTCATCGAATGTGGCTACTACTCTCGCGCATGGGATGCACTTTGGCGATAATCGGTCTCATCACCGCAAGACGGGCCCGTGTTCATCACCGTTTCAGACGAAGGACCTTTGTGCAATAATGTCAACCTTTGATGTTACTGAATAATAATTACAAACTTCAATCCCGCCAATGATACCAATTCCCATTATCGGTTTTCACCGAAAGATCCCTTGCCATTCCTTCCTTCAGTTGAATAAATGATGCTAGTTCCCAGAAAACATCCCAACACGTCCTCGATCTTGATTTGAGAATAGAGCCAGCTATTTGCTCAAACCGAAACCTCAAAGAGAAAACACAAAAGGAGAATAAAGTTCGTGTACCAAACATGAGAACGAAAAATGTGGAATCCTATACCCGCCTTGGCATCGACCTGCGTCCTGTGTGTTCCTTTGACCACCAAGGCTTTCCTTTTCCCTTTCCTCTCGGGCGGCCGTCTGTTGGGGTGTCAGGGATGGTGGGCTCGACCGATGGAGTTGGAGCCCCAGCTGTTGGGACAACTGAAGTTGTCACCGTCACAGAAGTTGGTGCCGGTGCCGGTGGAACCTCAGAAGTAGTGGTAGGTGCTGGTGCTGGTGCAACCACAGAGGAAGTAGTGGCAGGTGCTGGTGCTGTAGTTGTGGTCGCCTGGACAACACCTCCAGCGGCATCAACGAAAACTGGTGGACCAAAAGAAGGATACCCCGAAAACTTTCCAGAAGGTGAATTCCAGATGTCAAAGATCATTCCTGGTGTCTTTTTGTTGACGTAACCGGGAATAGAGACAGTAGCCGCGTTGCCAGTTCCAGTACCGCCAGTCACGGTGATTTGAGCGCACCTGGGATTCAGACAAGCATCATTAGAATTTATTCAATACAATGCGGGCGGCTCTTAAGCAGCAAGCTGGCAAGACATACCCAACATAGAATTGAGGCTCCTCCTGTCCTCCAATCGCATATGATCCAGCGTTATTCAATGTCAACAACTCAGCCCTCAGGAGATAATCGCCGTTCGCAATTGTCTTGGGGATCGTACACCTTTCCAAAGCGTTTGACAGTCTCAGAATATCCGTACAGAAGACACCATCGACGAGCGTGGACTCATAGATCTTGAACCAGCCAGATCCGGAGCCCTGAGCATTTGCTGCATTATCAACCTTTTTC